GTCACCAATGAACAGCACAGCCCGGCTGGCACGGCTCAGGGGGTTGAGTGTCGTCCGGTGGACCAAGAGGTCCCGGGTTCGATTCCCGTCAGGGCACATGCCCAGGTTGCAGGCTCAATCCCCAGTAGGGGGTGTGCAGGGGGCAGCCGACCCATGATTCTCTCCCACGCCGGGCGCGAGGGCTGGGCGTTACCTTCACAGCAGTCCTGCCAGACCCGCAGGTCCACCCTGGGGATGTCGTCGCAGCTGCTGTAGCCGTGGGGGTACTCCGCCACCCGGAACACGTCCCTCTGCACACGCGTGATGTTGTCGGAGTTGTCGCACAGGACCCTGGCCAGCGACGTCTGCTTGATCTGCGTCAGCTGGGCCGGCGAGAACACCCCAGGGTTCTCATACCACAGCCTGTGTCCCAGGAGGAGAACGAGATGGGGAAACCTGGACTCAAACCACAGCGACCGAACTCAGCAGCCTCTACCCCACCCCCAACAAGGCAGACGCCACTGGTTTTAACCGGGGCCACTTGACGGTGGACAACACACGGCTCACACTTCCCGCTCAAAACAAAGCAAAACAACCGAGTAAAGACCCAGAGGCGGGTCTAATCACTGATGTTTCTCTCTCTCCTCCTCTCCCTTTCTCTCTGAAATCAGTAAAAAGAAGTCTATTAAAATCCCACACAGACAGCACCAGGCGCTACGCCGCCTTCACTCCCAGCACGTGGCGTGGACACAGGGCCACTGCCCACGGTTCCTCTCTCCCGAGTCCCCGAAGGTGCCCGAAGCCCGGCCCCCCCCTTCGCCTCGCGCTCACCTGTCCCCGTCCCGCAGGCGCTGGAACTGCGTGCTGAGCAGGCACATGAGCGTGGGCCCCAGGCGGCTGCCGGGCACCAGGTCCTCCACCATGAGGGCCGGGAACAGGTCGATGTTGAGGGGGGACCCGTACAACCTAGACGACAAGGGAGGCCTGAAACGGCTCATCGGGGACAGCACCGCAAACACGGACAGGAAAGCCCCTTCCCATCGTGATCGCACGTTACTCAGACCGTCCCTTCAAGACAGAAACGTCTTCCTTTAAAGCAGCGGTTCTCAACCTGTGGGCTGCGGCATTAGGAAGGTTGAGAACCACTGCTTTAAAGCACACTTCCTCATGCTTTTCCTAACCCCGCCGCCTCCTTGTTTATTTAGAGGGTGGGGCAGGAGGAGGTTTACCCTGTTTGTATGGAAAACAATACAATAATTGTCTGGCCGGTGTGGTTCAGTGGTGAGTGTGGCTGCAGGGGGAGCTGCAGTGCTGCCCGTCCGAGAAGCGCGCCTGGCTCAGCGCCACCACCGTGGAGTCCAGGTCGTGGTCCAGGAACTGGCCCCACTGCAGTTGTGGGCTCGATCCCCAGTGGGGGGCGTGCAGGAGGCAGCCGATCCATGCGTCTCTCTCACATGGATGTTTCTCTCTGCCTCTCTCTCTCCTTTCCACTCTCTCTCTCTAAAAAAAAAAAAACCAATAGAAAAATATCCTCGTGTGAGGATTAACAAGCAAAAAAAGGTGGAAAAAAGTGAAAAGAAGTAAATAAATAAAAACAAAAAAGCGGCCCCGGCCCCGGCGCGCACTCACCGGCGCAGCTTCTCGCGGACCTCGGGGTCCTGGATCTCGTTCTTGAGGTCCTCGAAGGTGTGCGCGGCCGACAGGTTGCATAGCGGAAGGCGGCCGTGGCGAAGGCGTTGAAGATGCCCGCGTTGACGCCGGGGTCGTAGCCGCGGTACTCGCCCAGCATCTTCATGCCCACCTCGCCCAGCACCTTGGGCAGCCAGTGCTGGTAGGTGATGTGCTGCATCTGCGCGCCCACGATCTTGCGGGCCTCGTGGTACAGCGTGTCGCCGTCCCAGTGCGGGTTCAGCGCCAG